TAAAATTTTAATACAAGAACTTCAAACTTTTATTATACTAAAGTTTTCTAATAATTTTAAAAAATTTTCTTAACAAAATTAATAAAACAAATCTAAAATTAAATATTTTATTTAGGAAATATATAGCTAAAATCAATTTATTAAAAAAATATAAAATTTAAAAAAAGTTGCAGGCAAATTTGGCTGTAAAACAATTTAAGAGATAGACTTTCATTCTGTGTAAGATATTAGTAAAAGTATACTATTTTACAACTCAGACCTAGTGTAGATCTAGAAATTAAAAAGACATATATTAAAAATTTGTAATAGTTTTAATTAAAATAATTATCTATTTGTGTCTTACTGGATTGACTTTTATACATAAAATAGTAATGAGATAATAGAAATATATAACTAAACAGATTAACACCTTAAACTTGACATTCTAACATAGTATTGTTTTTTGTTACATTTCTACCTTGCATATCTTTTTATAAATATATAGAGGTTTAGAAGAATCAATTTTTTCACTTTTATGAGTTAAGATTTAAAGGTTTGAATAAATTTTACCTTATTTAAAAGAACTGTATAAACTTGCAAGCAATTTTAATGAGTAGTGTCAAGAAAAAATTAGCATTGCTTATATAATCAATGGGTATTCAATAAACAACTAATGGGTACTCATAATACTACCCTAGCCCTACTTGTTTGTGCAAGAGCTTTATTTTTAGGCCCTTATTCTACCCTAGGGCCCAGAAATCAATACCCTAACCTGGTCTTTATGGTACTGTTCGCGGGTATCCATAGGTAACCCATGCCCATGTGGAAACCTACCTAGAACTCTAATAAAACCTTCTATATACTTCTTTTTTGTTTATTTATTGTAGTTTTATTTTTTTTAAAAAGTACTTTAAACTGTATAAATAATGCAAAATTAAATTGATTTAAATAGCCAATCATACGAATATCTGCCTATAAAATTCAAATGTATACTAACTCAACTTTAATCGCATAGCAATCATAATAACTCCGGAGCAAACTAGCACAATCCTAATTACATGAAAATCATAATCATAATACTTATGCGAACCAAAACAATCATGTGTTATATCAAAATTTTTTACAATAACTACAGTAGAAATTACAAAAATTTAATCCAAAACAACTAACTCGACCTTAACTATATGTTGCATGTTACTTAAATAACGAGTAAGTTTTGTAACAAATTTTTTACAATTACTCAATAATTTTGATGGAAACTAACTCTAATTACAATTTTCAACTATTGAATAGTGAATAAATTTTGTAGCAAATTTATACAAAAACTCTTGATAGAAATCATGATAATTCTAATGACAAATTAACTCAATTGTCATAGTAATAAGAGTAAGTTTTATACCAAATTTTTACAGTAATTCATGATAGAAGTCATAATAATTTTAATGAAAACTAACTTTACTTTTCTTAACTACATGTTATATGCTATTGTGATTTATAAATTTTTGAATTTCATTGATCGTTTGAGTGATAATCATCACTATACATTTAATTGTGATTGTGATGGGTGCTTCTATTATATCAAAAAAATTTTTGAGGTTGAGTTCTGATCGATTATTTTAGAGGCTGGGTTATGACTTATTCTAAGATAATTAGGTATTCTTATCTTACAAATAATAGAAGTATTTTGCTACACCACACCCAATTGCAATTGTGGCATAGTAAAATATTTCCATTACATGTAAGAGCACCAAATAACCTTTATAAAAAAATAAGTTCTACACGTAATTAATCCTTAAATAATCGATCAAAACTCAACATCAAAGGATTTTTTTATATAATAAAATCATATATCTTCATCACAATCATATCGAATGTGAAGTAATGGTCAATACTCAAACAATTAATGGAATATAGAATTTTGCAAATTGCAATAGAAATTATGGCAATTCCAAAGCAAGCTTACTCACATACTATAGTCACTCGAATAGTAAGCAAGCTCTATAACAAAATTTTTATAGTAACTTATGGTAGAAATTATGAAAATTCGAATACAAACTAATAAAACCTTATCTATACTGTGTATAGTTCAAAATACCACTTATTGCGCCTATATATTTTTATTTAGTTGTTATCATATTGCATGATTTTTTAATCTATTTTTTTCAAATTTTAAACATTTAATCAAAAACATTTCAGATAATATACTCAATTCAGTTTTTGGAAACATTAACGGAATTTAATACTATGGCCTTTAATATATTTTTTTATTGGTAAAATCTAAATGGTGCCCCATGCACTTTGTGCCCCCCTAAGTTTTGATAGCGAACAAAGATAAAGACTAACATTAGGGTTAGGGTTAGTGTTTTTTTAGGCTAAAATTGCGAGAGGAACATTTTCATTAGTTACACAACAGGGTTACCTAGTAAAATTTTGAGATTTTATAGTAAGGAGCACACAATGATTGGGGAACCATCTAGTCCAGTTCTTTTTATTTATTTATTTTTTTTTTTTGATAATTACAAAAAACAAGATTTTTATTTCTTAATTTCTTATTCATATCAATTAATAAAAAAATACAATAATAAATTTACATTTTAGTAAATATGTGAATTAATTATTTATTTATCTTTTATTATGCTATTATAATTTGATTATTCATCAACAAAAGTATTTAAGTTATTCACTTATTTCAGTTTAGTAACAAGATATTTATTAAATTATTTAAATAACTGCACATATTCCTGAAGCTACTAAAACAAAGTTTAAAATTCGACATCGCTATTTAATATTATTTATTTAAGAAGACAGAAGTGTCAATCATATCTTGCTCTACTTTATAAAACTATTCTAATAATTACTAATATAAATGCAAATAATTAGTTCAAATATTAATTTGATGCACAAAAGATATCAAATAATGAATATTTACATTTAATAATTTTACTTTAAAAATTTTAAAAAAATTAATTTATACTAACAAAAATACATATGGGCGCCGGTGGCGCCCACCCTAAAACTAGTATATATATATTTATATGATTGCATATGTAGATCAATTTCTAGCATCTAGATAAATCTTCAACCGCTTTATCATATTTGCCCATAATAGTAATCCTTTTCTTGATGTTCCAATGTTAATATATTATTGGACCTTTTATTTTATAACGATGTCATTTTTAACTTTGTATAAGGCAACATCCTTTTAAATACAGCCGCACCTCCCTAAGTGCACCCCCCTTGGAACCATAGTAAAAAAAAAGCAAAATGTGCACTTAGAGAGAGTGTGCACTTAGGGAGATTAAAATTTATAATTGTTATATTAATTGGGACCAAGAAGGAGTATGCATTTAGAGAGGTTTTTCATATACCGTACACTTAGGGAGTGTGCACTTAGGGAGGTCTGACTGTACACAATCAGAGATATCTTTTTACATCGAAAACAAGTAATATTACTACTTGTCTTATTTCTGGTAATCACAGGGGTAGTCTTAGTTAACATAGGTTGGAGGTTGGAGGCTTGTATCATTTCCTTTTTCTCGCTTTTCATAACATTCTTCAACCTCAGTTCGCCGTGCATATTCAATTGTTTCTTCAAGGTTCTTCGTGTCATCAAAGTAACAAGCTTTGCAATAGTTCCTCTTAAACCTTTCAAAAACCTTCGGATTATAGGCAAGTTTGCTCCTTGAGTTACTCATTTTATCAGTTTTTTAAAGGTAGTGGCCAGTGTTTAAAATTCAAAGTAAAAATTACGTGCACAAATGTATTTTGTGCACCTTTTTTCATCTTTTTTGGAAAATTTTATGTGCACACTTAATAAATTTTTTAAAAATTCATAAAAAACTCGTGCACATGTGCATCTTGTGCATGCCAATTTTAAACACTGGTAGTGGCGTAGGTGTCCACCTTTTCATCCTTCTTCTGAGCCAAGGTATCCCATTCAATTTGCCACCTACACAATCTTTCAGGAGTAACGAAGTACTTTATAAACTGGTGGTAGAAACTTTTACTTTCATTTTTGTTGGTCTTCAAACATTTGAAATTATGTTTACATTCTTTATATCATTTGGATGCTATTCACCTTCAAGTAACCTGATGCAATTTGTATCCGACGACTTCCGGCCCAATTATTTGCATCTGCTGCCTTTTCAAAATCCTCTAACCATTCAAAGGATCGTCATCTTCTGATCCAAGAAAATTCCGAAAATTAATAAGGTTGCTTTCTTGAGTCTCCAGGTTATTCTCATTTGTTATCTTGGGAGAGGGACGAGAATAGCTTCCATAAATACTTTGAACTGATCGACATCTATTTCGTGACAATATTTAATTAAAATTAGAGTTAGAAGTCCAGAATCTCACAGTCACCACTAAATGTTTCGGGGTGAATCGTACGTTCGATAATTTACACTACAAAATATAGATTTTATGTGATAAGACAAATCGCCAGAGGCGTGGCGTTGGTGATTTGGTTCATATAATATAAGGGAATTGTTATCTAATTAGTGAGCTTATGTGCCCCTTCCTCGCACATAGGTGCCGTAACCAACCTTAACCAAGTTACGTCCTTTTAATAACTTAAAGAACTAATCAGGCTTAAACAGAACTCACCTTATTGTATAGAGACTTAATTTATATCGGCCGAGGTGTGCCACAATTTATCTGTGCCTTCGGGGCTAAATTATAAACAATTTATCAATAATGTCATTTTAGCCCTTGACAATATAAAATTTTTCTGCCTAAATATGTCAGGTTGCGATATAACCCATATGGAGATATAACTCAGGTAAGGCTGTAAAACAATGGTAATTTTTAAAACGCATCAACTTTTTATACCAAAGGTTTTTAAAAATGTATTTGGTAAATTTATAAAATTATAATGCTTTACAAAGTTACCGGTCAGTTTTTTAAAAAAGCTTTTGTATAAAAAGTTATAATGATTTAAAAAATTAAAACATGCCGAGTATAGGCTTCTTGCACAATATTATATTTAAAGTGATAGTGTGGCTCATTTAAAAATGTAATTATAATTTATTGTAACTAAATTTAAAATACATGATTAATACAAAATAGCAATACAAGTAAACAATCTATAATTACAATTTATATAAAACAGAATTTAGCTTGACACTTCAACCTCTTGAAAAGGTTGAACAAACAATTCAATACTATCATTAACCATTGCGGTTTCATTAATCAAACGTTGCCTTAACATAGACATTAAGGTTTTACTGTCTTTGGCAAATTGCCTAATACCTTCAGCAAGCTTTTCAGTAGTCATTGCATCTTCATTTAATTGCCATTTGAAAGCCTTCTCATCATAAGAAGTTTTTGATTCCAAACAATGATACGCTAATCCATAATAAATAAATAAATAAATAAATAAATAAATAGTATTTCCAAAACTTATAACTTTCAGCATATATACATATCTATTTAAAACATACCAGTATCAGGACTTAATTTTCTTTCAATCTTTTTGTAAGTGTTTTGCAGTTGATTTAACAATTTAGGGCCGATTGTCAAGAAATCACAGCCAGCCAATTCTTCGATTTCGCCTATATTCCGAAAACTAGCCCCCATCACACTAGTTTTATAACCATATTTTTTATAATAGTTATAAATCTTGGTCACGGATATAACACCAGGATCCTCGGAAGATTTATAAGTTTTATTAGTATTTTTTGTATACCAATCGAGAATTCTACCGGCATAGGGGGAGATTATAGTCGCACCCACTTCTGCACATGCAACAGCCTATATGGAAAGATTTTGAAAAAAAGGGATACCATTTAATAATAAAATTGAGGGATGGAATTTTTTAAAAAGGTTGTTTACCTGAACAAAAGAGAAAATTAAAGTCATATTGCATTGAATTCCTTCTTTTTCAAGTATTTTAGCAGCTTGAATTCCTTCCCACGTTGATGCTATTTTTATCATTACTCGTGACTTATCAATACCAATTTCCTCGAAAAGTGAAATTAGATGCCTAGACTTGATGATTGTTGCATTGGTGTCAAATGAAAGTCTTGCATCTACCTCAACTGACACCCGACCTTTAATAAGTTTGAGAATTTCTGCACCAAAGTTCACCAACTATAAATAAAGTAATGAATTGAATTTACAGTAATAAATTTTTAGTAAGTGTATTAAATTAGAAATAAAGTTACTAGTTTATCAGCAGCCAATTCAATCATTTTCTCCATGGAACTAATGATCGAAAGATTAGTTTACATCATAATAATTATTATTAAATATGAAAAAAAAAAATATTTATAATAAATAATTAAATAATTAATACATTTCTTTACTCATCACATATTCAATAGCCGAATTAATTAAATAATCATAATGAGGTTTTTTAGTGGCTTCTAAAATCAACGACGGATTTGTGGTCGCTTCATGGGGATCAAATTTTTTCAGCGCTATAATATTAAAAAATTTAAAATATTTATTAGGCGAAAAGAATTAATTCAAATAAGGATAAAGTTATTAATAATACGTACATATGAAATCACCCGAGTCGCCGACAAGAGTAGTATATTGTTTTATTTGATCAAGAACTGAAACCATGATTTTATTTAACAGGTATTGTAGAGAAATGGTTTAAAAATTCAGATCCTAAAATTCACTAGCTTTATATAAATTTGAGCAGATTATTTAGAAACAGCGATTTCAAAATGAAGTTCAATAATGATAATAGATATCGATATCATTTGAACAAAATTAGACCGATAAGATACAACCATAATGTAAAAAGAATAATGGTTTGTTCGAGATTAGAAATCGAAACCTAAATTTAGATCTTTGCTGAAACCAAATTTCTCTTCGAAATCTCCCATAAAATCTAGATTTAGATCTTTGGCTTATCTTAAAAAAAGAAACAAATTGGATCCTATAAAAGGAAACTCGGTTTTGCGAAAGATTCTGTAACAAATAAACAAAGAAAATACCGCAAATGGCCATGTAAAAGACCTGGGTTTGTTACATACCACCAATTTTAAACCTGTAGTTGGGTCTAGAACATGATTGATAATTTGTGGCATATAAAGTAAAAATTTGAACTATACACACACTTTGCATTTGTAACATGCAATCTAGATGATTACATTTCAATCAAGAAGATTTTGAGAACTGCACACGGGTCTAGTACCCTGTGGGTCTACTATTTGGGAGCTTATATACGACAGTTTACTGAACTGAATTTTTAAAGTATATCATCACTATAGAATCTTTGCACAGTCGCTTATTATGGTAAAAGAATAAAAACGAAATTTTTGTGATTTACAAGATAGAACACAAGTTTTTGTACTTTGGCAAAATAAGGGCCTCAATAACGAATCTGATGGTCTGTTTGATCAAACTAACCAATCAGATTTTTTACTGAATTCATTGAGGTAGGCGATTGAGAACGCCCTAATAAATTTTTAGTTTCTACATAATAAAATTAAACTGGATATTGATAAGGATAAATCGTACGATTTTTTTTTACTATGGTAAAAAATAAAATAAATCGATTTCCTATATCTGATATAAAACAAAAACAAATGGGGTCTTTGCCTTGAAAATGACCTTACGGTACATGATACCGTAAGGTCATTTTCAAGGCAAAGACCCCAGATGTCAATGACAATTATTCTTATGTTCACCCATATTATACGTATCGATACGATTTACACCGGGTTATTATTTATACACAATGTTGATATTTGGCATGCCTTTAGCGTTAGTAAAATTCATGACAATTTGTCCTATTCAGGTAATACACAATATCAATACAGCAATAACAGATAACATCGGGTTGATCCATATTATACGTATCGGCATGCCCTTATTAGTAAAATGGCATGACAATTTTTTTTATCCGCGCCAGCCCTATTTAGAGTATCTTTCTTACTGGCGTACATGTGAATACATGTTACGTTGACCATCAATAAGTTGACAATTTGGCGATGTTTCTTTCTAAAATAATTTATTACATGCAGACTTCATGATTTTTTTTTTCAAAATACAATTTAAAATACTTTTATTTATGCTATTATTTGCTTATTTGTTTATCCTCTCTTTCAATTTAATATGGTTATTATTAGACTCATATCAGCGGATTTGCGAAATGGATCAAAATTAACTTTTGATAAAAAAAAAAGAATTTTGCTATTTACCACCACTGGTGATCATCACCGGTGCTGCTATATCTCAAAAATGTACTAAGTAAACAGGATCGGGTATTCTAAGTAAAAATGTTCAGAACCCCCAAAAACCTC